AGATCCACCCCGGGAAGCTCTTGATCTGAATTGTCTTTCTGTACCTGAGATGGATGGGGGTTATTTGGAGTCACTCTTCCGCCCCTTCTCCACTGCCCTGCGCCTGAGAAATTACACAGTTTACAACAGTGTTTGGTCCAAGGCAATTCCTTCCTTTGTGGCCTCTGGATTTCAGGACCAAGTTTCCAGAATGGTGAGTTTCTCCTCCCTGGGTAAAACTGACCTTCACTTATCTCAGGGTCATATTTAAAAAACTGGTCTAGATTTAATCCTAAAAATCTCAGAAATAAATATAAATTTTAGTTCCAGTTTATCTACCTTTCAGTCCTTAGAACTAGAGACTAACCCTCTTCCCTCAGAAATGATGCTGACTGATGTTTTATACTACAGATAAGCTCGCTGGTAGCATAAAACATTCCTAGGGAACTTTACAAGTTTAGTAACAGCTTTTCACGAAAACGAGTATAAAAATACAGCCACAGCCTTGGCCGGCCCTTCTTTCTCTCTTAGAAGCTTTCCTTCTCCAATAAATAGATTCTGCTCTTAACCTTGTTGTTCCTAGAATCCATTCTTCGACTTTAGAGAACACGAACTCCTACCGGACGTCTAGTAGGCCGGAGTTTATCAGTACCAGTTCCCCTGGATCCCCTCTCCGGCGGGGTCTGTGCTTGAAGAGCATATTTCTGCTGCGAGCTCTGACCGGCCTGGATCTGTCTGCGGGGCTGGAAGGGGGCGTGGTGCTTCCCAGTTCCGCTCTTAGTGCCCTATACCTTTTTTCTCTTTATCAGGAAACCTGTAGGAAAACGGAGCAGCTCTGCAGGAGCACCCGTTGCAGATGCCCGATGTGCCACTGGTGAAGACAAAAAGAATGACTGCGTTTTGAACCAGACTGTTCAAGGTGACTGTATGATACTACTTTTACATAGCAGAGCAGTAAGCACAGCTAGAAAATATCTTTCTATGCTAGTATGGAAGGATTTTCAGATTGAAAAGATAGAGCAAGTTATTCTCCTGTTTAAGAGGTGGCATAGAAATACATATATATATGTATATATATATATATATATATATATATACATATATATTGATTTATTTGTCTTTTTGAGACAGGGTCTCACTATGCAGTTCAGGCTGGCCTTGAGCTCACTTTGTAGCCCAGGCTGGTCTCAAACTCACAATGATCCTCCTGCCTCAGCCTCCCAAGTGCTGGGATTACAGGCGTGCGCCACCACGCCTGGCCTTGAAAAGTATATTTTTTATTTGAAAAAATAAATCATAAAAAATGTTAAAGTCATTACCTATGGGACAGGGAGTAGAGGGGGAGATAAGGATTTCAGAACAAAGGAAGGAGCTGTACAATCAAAAGGGTGTAGGGGCTGGAGGTGTAGCTCGGTGGTAGAGCACATGCTTAGCAAATGTGAGGCCTTAGGCTCAGTCCCCAGCACCAAAAGGAGAAAAGAGGGGAAGGAGCTGCGTGCAGCTAAACAAAACCTGGAATCCCTGAGTTTGAATTGGAAGTTTCAGTATAAGTAATGATGTATTTTAGTAAAAAGAAAAACCCAAAGACCAACCAGAACCAAATCATTTTACTCAGGTCTGTCCACCGAACGAGTACCTCATTTACACCACCACAGACCTTCAGATTGTGGTCTTTAACAGGCGAAAGATTTATATGATCTGAACAGAAATCAGAGTATAGACTGCGGTCTTTAAGTACTGTTTCCCACTAAAGGAAACAGCACCGTGATAAGTTGCTGATGACATAATTGTCATACTTCTCCAGAGCTCAGCGATTTTCTTTTACTATACAAAGCGAGCACATTTCAGACACTGAGACTGAAAAGGAAGGATGTGCCAGAAGATCTGCAAGAGAAAAAAAGGAAAAACTGAGAAAGGGAGAAATGTTAGCATAGCAGAGAGGAAAAGTCTGTGTTATGAAATGGAAAGAGAAAAAAGATGTCTCCTTTTGTCACCTATTCATAATACAGAAATGGCAGAACTTGAAAGAAGAGACAAAAATTTTAAAAATTCCGTTACTTATTGACTAGTTACCTTTTCCTCATAATATGTAATACCGATGTCATATAGCAAATTCCTACATACATATATATGAGTCTCTTTGAGGGAGGGCTTTTAAATTTTCCCTTCAATAATACAAGACTGTCTCATTTACTGTGGCTTTATTATATAATTTATTTCATAGGACAAGTCTTTTCAATCCTAGCTGTCTTCAAAATTGTCTTGTATCCTGTGAATATTTTTTCTATATAAATAGGAAAGATGCAGCCAGGTGTGGTGATCAATACCTATAACCCCAGCTCTCTGAGAGACTGAAGCCGGAAGATTACAATTTTGAGGCCAGCCTGGGTAACTCAGTAACTCTGTCTCAATAAATAAATAAATAAATAAATAAGTAAACGTTTAAAAAAGGGCAAAGGATATAGCCCAGTAATAGCGCACTTTCCTAGCGTGTGAGAAGCCCTGGATTCAAGCCCCCAGTATTGTTAAGAAAAGAGAAAAAAAAAATGGTAATAACCAGCAACTCTACATTGGTAGTATGAAATTAACTGAATAAATGGGCAACTAAGTAAATGTTAACATTGAGTAACTGTGCACAATTAAAAGCAATAAAGTACTGTTTATTATACCTGAATGATACTCTATTTAGGGAGGCATTTAAGTAAGGCTTTTCAGTGTTTGAAATGCAAATATTCCCTTATACTGAATTTTATTCATTATCTTACTTTTCTTGGTCAGGACAAAACTGAAAAAAATCTTGAATTCAAAATAAACAATTCTTGCTATGTATGTTTTCCCACATATATCAGGAATGTTCTGTAACTTTCCGAGAAACAGTAACTTGAACTAAATAGTGAACTGCTACTGCGACTCGTGTGCATTTTTGGAAGTTTTTAGTCATTGAGAACCTCGGCATTTCTTTTCTCTGTATCACAAACTGTTGCAAATACTTTCTTTTTACCATAAACACTGGAACAGACGACCTTCTGTTCTAGAACTGACCGGCCACAGAAGTGACACGGACCGGAAATGGGAAATGGTTCAGGGTCCCGGAATTCCCCTGACTGCCTAATCAAGCGGCTTATTTGTAAATTTTTGAGATGTTTGCCCCCTGGAGTTCCCCAGAAGAACGCATCTGATTTCACTGACCAAGACCTCTTCCACAGAATGTAAATTAAAATATTCAAAAGGTCGTTCGCTACAACACTGAATTCCACCGTGGTCACATGACGGGGGGGACAAAAGGACCACGACTAGTACTAAAGCGAGAGATTTTTACTGACAGTGTTCAATCAGTGACCCACATTGTTCTTTTTTTGTTTTTTGTCTTTTTGAGACAGGGTCTCACTATGCAGTTCAGGCTGGCCTTGAGCTTACTTTGTAGCCGAAGCTGGCCTGGAACTCACAACGATCCTCCTGCCTCAGCCTCCCGAGTGCTGGCATTACAGGCGTGCGCCACCAAGCCCGGCTTTCTACGACCCACATTTTTGACAGGCTCCTTCCTCTGTGGCTTATATACGATTCCGAGTGTGTGCACGCACACGAATGAATACATTCCATTTTATCCAAATATTCAACAAACTTTGAGAGCGAAGCCTGGTTGCTACCGACGCGCATTTAAAATAGTCATTTTTAAAGTCAGCGTCTCTCGCACAGCAAACCAAACGTCTACAACCCAAATACGCAGTGGTTGGCTGTAAAACGCATTACGTCGTCAGTACTCAGGGACGCTCTCACGGCGCTTCGCCTTCTGCCCTGCGCGCACCTCGCCGCTCGGCGTAGGGGCGCCGCGCGCAGCAGGGCTCCAGGTCCTCCGCTCAGGCGAACAACGCCTCTCCGCCCCTGCGGGCCCGGATCCACCCGCGGCGGCCCCTGCGCCAC